GAAGAAGGAACGGAGGAAATTAGAGAAATGCCGGAAGAGGTGCGTGTAGTTGAGACCATTTCCAAAGACGGTAAACTAAGGAAGAAGAAGATACGTACTCGTGTAATTAAAAAAGTCAAGGGTGACAAACAGGAAGTCACAAAAATCGAAACCGTTGAGGAAGATGACAAACAACCAGAAACCACCGTCACAATTGAAGAAACACCTGTTGAGGAAGGAACCGAGGAAATTAGAGAAATGCCGGAAGAGGTGCGTGTAGTTGAGACCATCTCCGAAGACGGTAAACCGAAAAAGAAGAAGATACGCACACGTGTGATTAAAAAAGTCAAGGGTGATAAAGAGGAAATCACCAAGATCGAAACCATTGAAGAAGATGATAAACAACCAGAAACAACTGTTAGTATTGAAGAAAAACCGTTTGTCGAAACAATATCACAAGCACGTTTAAAGAAAAGAATTCGTGTGCAGAAACCCACCGATGAAGTATCTATTGTGGAGATGCCAGAACAAAAAACGATTGTCATATCAGAAAAGGAAGATGGAACTCCGACAAAAAAAGTAATTAAAACCAAAATTATTAAAAAAATTGACGGACCAAAAATGGAGATTACCAAAGTTGAAACCATAGAAGAATTCGAAAAAGTGCCTGTAATTAAAGTGACTGTACAAGAATACGATGAACCCTTCCCGGAGGAGCAGCCGACAAAAGAAACTGTTGTTCCGACACCATTGCAGGAATTGCCGGAGGAGATTATTGTCTCGGAGATTATCGATAAGAATAGAAAACCCAAACAAAAAGTAACCAAAACCCGAACATTTAAGAAAGAAATATCGCCAGAACCTGAATTTTATCAAATCCAAACAATTGAGGAAGAAGGCAAAGAACCCTATTCGCTTATACGTGTCGTTAGTGATGATAGCATTGCGGATATAATCGATATTAGCCAATTAGACGATGAAAAGACACCAAAAGAAAAGACACCGAAACAAAAGAAAACCAAAACACTACACAAAACCAAGGGTAAGATGATTACACAATACAACACTACAGCACTACACTATCACTTAATATATTTGTATACTATGAGCTCGATTATTTTATAAACTAACATTTTTAATGGCAGTTGCAAACTTTTACTTATGTAACTAAAAAAACGAACAACATAAATATATATATATATTAACATTTCATCAATATACAAACCTTTATTAGAGGAAAAACCCACACCCGAACACTTAACAACGGAAAAACCAGTTTTCGTTACTACATTCAAATCGGTACAAAATGAAGACGGCGAAACAGTTATTGAAACAGAAAGTAAGAAAATAACCGAGGAGGAAGGCATCGTCATTGAAGAAGTTCTTAGCGATACCGAGCCAGTTATATATGATGATCAGACCGCCTTAAAGAATGTTGAAATTGTAGAAGTCGACGGATACACAGGTGAATTATTATACATGCTATTATTAAACTACATACGTACCTCTCTACACATATTTACAAACAATTTAAACTACATACTGAAAAAATTTGATATAAGATGGCATTTTTGTTGTTTCAACATTGTAGATATTTTTTTAATTGCATAAAATTTTGAAAGTAGTAATGTCTGCGCGTATTTCTTTGTATTTAAATTCAGACAGTTTGTGTTGCACATTAAATAATATTTATATGAATGTGACTGCACAACATGTCTAATTAGATTTAAGTAGGTTTTAGAAAATATACAGTTACTTAGTTGATAGAAAATAAAGAAGAAATAGTGCTACCGATACTGTTTAGAGCTAACGTAGACCCAAATTTTCTCTTGTATAGACCAAGATAGCAAAGAGTACACAATAACAGAACCAGATGATGTCTTCGAAGACATTACACAAACACCAGATACAGATAAGAAAACGAAACATAAAATTAAGAAACAACAGAAAACTACACATAAACCATTTGAAAATATCGACGAAGCACCCGAAGAAGTGATTATAGAGTATATGCCTGAAGAGGTCTACGAAGTGGAACGACCGGTTGAAGTGGTTGTGGTCGAAGACGAAGAAAAAGGAAAGATTGTGGTTGAACCCAAAATAACAGTGGTTAAAAAGCGTAAAATTAAAAAGAAGATCGATGGTCGTGAACAAGTTATTGAAGTGGTTACTAAACAAGAAGAAGGTAAGGAAGAAGAGAGTACAGTGGTTGTACATTCGGAGGATGACGAGCAACCGGAAGATATACAACATGTTAAAATTGTTGAAGATTTGGTTGATACACCGCAGGCAAAGGTCGATGAAAAGCCATCAATGAAGAAGAAACGTAAGCCGAAGAAGGTGGTGAAAAAGGATGATCTGGATGAATATATACAGTTCCTAATAGAACAAGAAATACCTAAAACTGTGCTACAAGAATATAAGCGTACGGAATTGCAACAGCCACAGAAGGCGCGTAGCAATACAACGGCTGCGCCGAAACCCATCAAATTAGTGCCAATGAAAATCGAAAGTGTTGAGGTGAAAAAATCGAAGAGACTTGAAATTACATCAGTAGCAGAATTTCCACAAATGTTGAAATTAAAGAAACCGAAACAGAAACCTAAAGAAGAGAAGCCGAAGAAGGAAACAGCAGCTTTTAAAAATTTCAAATTGAAAAGCTGGATTAATTTCATACCATTTGCACCATATTGCTTTAAGCCTACTATAACCGAGTTGGAGCCGATACGCGGCTGTGGTGAATTATCGCGAAATATGGACGAAGCAATTGGTGTTATTAAAAAGCGACGCGTTAAAGTGAAACACAGCGAGAAACCTGAAAAGGAATTGGAAACATTGGATCTCGAAACATATGAGGACACGAAAGTGGAAGAAGAAAGACAACCTGAAAAGGTGGAGAAATATAAACGACCAAAGAAAGTGACAAAGGAACAAACTGCTGACGAGCCGAAGAAGCTAAAATTAGGCAAGGGAAAGGTGCCCGAGAGTTCGAATGATATTGAGCAGATTACTTTGAAACCAATATCAAAGGATGTAATCGAAGATATTGTTGAAGAAACACCTGAAAAGCCAACCGTAGAGAAACCAAAACGGAAGAAGAGAGGTCGTAAACCGGGCGTTGGTGATACTTCCATACAATTCGAACCACAAGATTTTGATGAAGTGGAATCTGGTGAAGAACAGATTTCAGAGGGAACGGACACCTCACAACCGGAAATTGATGAAACACAAGATAAACCTAGATATACACGCAAGAAGAAGACAACACCGCAACCAGAGACAATACAATATCCTATCAAACCGCAACAACCAAAGGAAACGGAATATACTGCACAACCGGAATTGAAATTGCGTAAACCACAGGGTGATAAACTTGATGTTGAGGAAGAAGGTATTAAGCTGAAGCCATACCATAAAATTGAAATACTCGAATTCGCACCAGAGGACGTTGAACAGCCGGACGCACCGGAGGCCCCGATAGTGATTAAGAAACGTACAAAGAAAATTCGTAAAATTAAACAAGAAACTCCTGCTGAGGAAAACATAATAGAAATCATTGAAATACCAGCGGTGAATGTAGAAGATCAACCAACATATGAAGTTACGGTAACGACAACAGATATCAGTGAATCCACTGAAAAGCGCGTAAAACCTAAAACATTGAAAAAGAAACGTGTCAAGTTAATGAAGGAGGATGAACTCGACGACTTCATCGCCGATTTGACGGAAGCGCCAGAAGATAAGATTTATGATTTCAATACGGTGGACTTCTACGAGATTAAAATACAAGAACTACAGCCAGAATTCATTGAGGAAACTATTGTAAAGGATGATGGCAAAATTAAAACAGAAATACGCAAAAAGCGTAAGCTACTACATAAGAAGGGCGACGAGGAACAAGTGATCGAAATTGTCGAAACAGGAGAAACAGGACCCGATTCAAAGGAAACTGTTTATGAAGTGCTTGTTGTAGACACCGAAAAAGCGCCGTCCACTGATTCAACAGCAGAAAAACCGAAAAAGAAAAAATCGAAGAAGCTGAAGAAGGATGAACTGGATGAATACATACAAAAACTAATCAACGCCGAAATTACCAAAACCGAACTTGAAAAGTATGAGAAAATCGATGTCGACGGCAAACCTAAAAAGCCAAAGAAAACAAAGAAGGTGCCACAAAAAGCGGTGCTTGAAATACCGGACTCTTTGGAAGTTGACGTTGTAGAGTCTGCACCCAAGGAAGCACCAAAACAGAAAAAATCAAAAAAGAAAATAGTGCCTTTGGAAGAACAACCGACAGAAGAAACGGCAGAAGTGCCAGCGGCTGAATTTTCAGTTGAGATTAAAGACACTATGCCCAGCAAAACAGAAAAAGAGGATATTGTGAAAGAAGTTATAACGACAGAAGAACCTCCGACAGTGCCAGAAAAGGCCACAGGTGATGTGGTAAGCATTGTAGAAATCTCTGAAAATGTTGAAGTTGTCACAAAAGAAGAGCCAAGTGGTGAAATTAAAGAAGAAACGGTCACAAAACGTAAATTTAAGAAGAAGAAGGGTGGCAAGATCTATACTGTAGAAGTTATTGAAACTCAGGCCAAGGATGAGCCTGAAGCCGAAGTAACTATAATAACAACAGAAGATGCCGAGAAAACAGTGACACCACAGCCAGAAACACCAAAACCTGTGCCTAAGAAAACGACTAAGAAAGTCAAAAAGGAAGAACTCAAGGATTACGTCATGAAGGTTGTAGAAGAAATGCCAGAAGAATTTGCAGTGCAGCCTAAAGAATATGAAGAAATTCCAGAACTAGTTGAAAAAACGGTAGATGATGTTTTCTTCAGGACTACTATAGTAGAGGCGACAGGCGATGAAATGGAAAAACCAATAACTGACGATATTTCTCCTGTTAAAGAAGGTGTCGAAGAGAAAAAGAAGAAACCGAAGAAGCCAAAACAATACAAAATTACGGAGACACAACCAGGCACTCAAGAGGAATTACCACAAAAGGTAGGAATACAATCTGAAGAGGAAATCGACATTAAGGAAACTCTTATCATCGATGACTATGCCATCGATGTACAAGAAAAGGATGTAAAGAAAATAAAGATAGTGAAACGTGTGAAACCGAAAGAAGAGCAAAAAACCGAAGAATATGTTGTAAGAATTGAAGAATCGCTTCCCGAAGTTACGACCACAGAAATCGTTGACGAACAAGGAGAGATTACGAAACAAACAACAACAAAACGCCGCCTCAAAAAGAAAGAAGGTCCCAAAGAGTATGTTATAGAAGTAGTGGAAACATTTGAAGAAAATAAACCCGACGAAGTTGAGATTACCGTCTCAACAACAGAAGTCAAACCAATTGATTTAATGGAACCTGCAGTGGAACAAACTAAAGTTACTAAGATGAAAAAGAAGAAATCGCCAAAAGACAATTTCGACGAATACTTGCAGCAGTTAATAGAACAGGAAATAACGAAAACGGAATTGGAAGAATTTACCCCAATCGAATTTGGTAAAACACCAAAGAAACCTAAAAAGAAAACTAAACATCACAAGAAAACAGTTGAAGTCGTGGATGGAGCTGCTGTTACAATACATGAATTCGACGTAGAAGAAATACCCAGCGAAAAGGAGGAAGAAATTGAAGAACCAATCACTGAGGTGGTGGTCGAAGAAAAGCAACCAGCACCGGAAGATTATCAAGATTACAGAATTGGTGTGACTGACGAACAAGTTGAGCCAATGAAATTCGATGACATAATAACGGAAGAACGTCCCACTAAAGTTAAAAAACCAAAGAAACTCAAAACAACAGTAATTGAAGAAGCTCCTGTTACTTTGGAAGAAATTGAACAAACCGTTGCAACGGTCAAGGAGACCGATGATACTGGTGAAGTCAAAGAAAAAACAATTACTAAACGTAAAGTCAAACGTAAGAAAGGACCCAAAGAGTTTGTATTCGAAATATCGGAAATAAGTGAAGGAGCAGATCAACCTATAGCCGAAATAACAATTGTGCAAATAGACGAGACTCCTGTAACTGTTGATGAGGAAAAACCAGCTAAGCCAATTAAAAAGATAGTAAAGAAACCAAAACATGTACCAAAGGAAGATATACAGAACTATTTAGTGAATGTCATCGATGAATTCTTCGAACGTGAAATAGTCTCCGAAAATGAGGAAGAAATTGTCGAAGCACCAACGGATTACGTGAAGAAACGCATTCCTAAACCCAAAAAGCATAAAGTCAAAGTCACAGAAGAAGATGTACAGCCAGTTGAGGATGTACCTGAGGATCAAGTTGATTTGGTAGAGGAACACACTGAAACAGTTGATAAAACGACGGACGAATACCAGATTGGTGTTATCGAATCGACAGTATCTGAAAAGCCCACCAAAAAGACTACCAAGAAAATTAAGAAACAGAAATCAGATGTACAAAAACCGGATGAAGAATCATCAGATTTTATGGTACACGTCTCATCGTTTGAAGAAACCACCGAAAATCTTGAACGTGAGGAACAAGTAACCGAAACTCAACCAGAAGAAACACAACCTGTGGAAGATTATAATATTGTTGTAGAAGAAATTGAAACTACAGAAGATGTACAGGAAATTGTCGATGAAGGTGGTGAAAAAGTAAAACAGACAACGAAGAAGCGTAAGATAAAGAAAACAGTTGGTCCGAAAAAAGAAATAATAGAAATAATTGAGACACAATTAGACAACTCACCACTTTCTGAGGTTACCGTAATAGTGCAAGAGGTAGAAACAGTACCCGATTCAAAGGAAGAAGATAAACTACATATTAAAAAGCCAAAGAAAACAAGGACGGTTAAAAAAGATGATCTTATGGAATATATCTATAAACTAATTGAAGAAGATATACCAAAAACTGAATTGGAGAAATATGAGAGAGTCGACTTGGAGGAACCAATAAAATTGAAAAAGAAGAAAAAGCCCGAAAAGAAAGTCACTACAAAAGAAGAAGAACCTATAAAGGAGCAACTTGAATCTTTTGAAATCGACGTTACAGATGCCGTAGAGGTGAAGGCGAAGAAACCAAGAAAGAAACCATCCAAGGATGTAGTAGTTAGGGAAGTGGATGTATCATCACCGCAACCAGATGAAGAAATGACTGTAACGCTGACTGAAGAAGATACTCCTGAAAAGCCAAAGAAGAGCAAGAAATTACCTGTTTCTGTTTCCGAAACCACACCACAGGAAGATATCGATGAAGAATACAAAATAGAAATCATCGAGGAGACTGTCGAAAAAGAAAAGACGACAGACGAAAGTGGCGAGATCAAAGAAAAGATTGTTAAAAAGAAAAAAGTTAAGCATACAAAGGGACCGGAAGAAGTAGTACTAGACATTATTGAAGTACACGATAAAAGCAATGATGAAGCTGAAATCACGGTCATAGCTACAACATCCAGCAAGAATAAAGACACACCACAAGAGGTACAAGTTAAACAAAAGAAAACTAAGAAATTAAAGACTAAAGATGTGCCCGAGTATATTGCCAAAATCGTCGATGAAATCCCAGCAGAAATATTCGAGGAATACAAACACGACGAAATTGAAGATACTCCAAGAAAACCAGATAAAAAACCAAAGCATAAGATAAAACAAACTGAGGATGAAGGTGTTAAAGAAGAGGAGAATGTACATGAATTCACTACAATGGTTGTAGAGGAAGAACCAGTTCAGCCCGACGTAACTGCCTATGAGATCACAACAGTTGAAGAGGAGGCTAAACCAAAGAAAAAGAAACCCACTAAATCGAAAGTAAAAGTAACGGACGAAGGAAAACCTGAAGAGGAGAAACTGGCTGAAGTAACTATTAAGGAAAGTGAAGTTGAAAATATCGAAACAATACCGGATTCAACTGATAATATAAAAATTGTTGAAGCTGATAAGATCTCTCCTAAGGAGCAGGAATATATGATAACAACAACAGAAGAAGAATTTAAGAAAAAGAAGAAAAAGCCAACCAAACAAAAGGTAAAGGTAATTGAGGAGGACAAAATTGCAGACACACCTTCTGATACAGTTACTGTGCAAGACACGGTACCAAAGGATACCATTGAAAAAACTCCACAGGAAGAAGAAATAAAGATAACAGAAGAACAACCAATACCTGAAACTAAAGACTTCGCAGCAACAGTGACGGAAGAACAAACACCAATAAACAAAAAGAAACCAATTAAACAGAAAATTAAAGTTGTTGAGGAGGACAAGCCCGATGAAATGCCTTCAGAATCAATTGCAGTTCAAGAAACAGTACCAAAAGACATCAGAGAGGGAATGCCATCAGAAGAGATAAAAATTACGGAAGAACAACCTGCATCAGAAACCGAAGACTTCGAAGTAACAGCAACGGAAGAGCATAAGAAACCAAAGAAAAAGAAACCTACCAAAGAAAAGGTTAAATATGTTGAAGAGGATAAGATTGAGGATGTGCCGTCTGAAGTTATAACGATTGTTGAGGATCAACCTATTTCTGACATTGAAGAGTTCGAAATAAAATCCACTGAAAAACCAACTAAATCTAAGAAAAAGAAGCCGACTAAAGAAAAGGTTAAAGTTATTGAGGAAGATAAGCCCGAGGACGTACCTTCCGAAAAAATTTCTGTTCAAGATACACTGCCTGAGGATGTGAATGAAGAAATCTCTGTTGAAGAAATAACAATTACCGAAGAACAACCTGTGGACGATTCCAAAGACTTCGAAGTAACTGTAAAGGAGGAACAAATAAAATCCAAGAAGAAGAAACCAACTAAGCAAAAAGTTAAAGTGGTCGAAGAGRAGAAACCTGAGGATAAACCTTCGGATATAGTTACAATTGATGAAGGAGTACCTAAACCAGTTGAAGATATACCATCGGAGGAAGTAGGCATTGTGGAAGAACAGCCAAAATCCGAAACAGAAGACTACGAAGTATCACCAACTGAAAAACAAGATAAACCAAAGAAAAAGAAAACAACTAAACATAAAGTTAAAGTTGCTGAAGAAGACAAACCTGAGGATATTCCTTCTGAAATAGTTACTGTTGATGAAGGAGTACCTAAACCAATTGAGGAAATACCATCAGAGGAATTAAACATTGTGGAAGAACAACCAACGTCAGAAACTGAAGACTTCGAAGTATCACCAA